CAGGCTTAAACCCGTTTGAGGGCCTGAGTGAGTCGGCGTAGACCCTGGACGAAGGAGGGTAGGTCGGCGAGCCTGTGGCTCTGCACGGTACTCTAAGTGTCGTACCGTAAAGCGTCTCGGCTGCAGAGGTTTGGTGTTTTTTTAAAGGATGTATAGAGACCCAGGAGGACAGAAGGCATTGCTTTCGGCCAAGGTACGTCAGGGCAGCACATGAGACCGGCCTTGAGGGTTCGGTGGAAACCCTCCACCGTTCAATTTTATTTCGGGTGGTAAAGCGTCGTCCAGATGCTGTTTGAGCCGATCATCTTGGCTAGCTTTGAAGAAGGCTGCTTCAAACTTGGCCCCTGGTCCGAGGTAATGGTGAGAGGCGTCCCGAAACAGGCCATCCAGCTGTTATACAAATCTCTACTGACGGTCGAAGTCTACTGGTGTGGTATGGGGACGGCAGCGGGTCATCTACTGAACCTGTCAAGCAGTACTGGAACCTCTTGGAAAGTGAAAGTTTCAGCAAGTTTATGAGGATGTAGTCGAAACGACTGTTCGGCGGGTCTAGGTTGCCCAGAGCTGTGCAATTGTGCTTATGGACCTTTGCACGCTGGCAGAGTTCGCATTGTTGGCCCCAACGAGTCGTCTGGCTGCGAATCTTGGACCATTAGAATTTTTCGGTGACGAGGCGTACCATTGCTCTGATGTTAGGATGCTAGAGGTTATGTAAAACTTCGAAGGCGGTCTTGCAGAGCTTCTTGGGCTGCACGCATTGTATGCGGTGATCATCAGTGCAGGGAAAAGCGAGGGCGGTGAGCATAGGCTTCAGTTCGGTGTCGTCGGAATTGACGTTAGAAAAGACCTCCGGTTCTAGGAGGCGCCGGGCTTGTCTCGCTGAGGCCTTGCCCGAGTGTTGGCGGCCTGCGAAAATGAGTAGTTTGTGATCCGTAAAGATTGTGAAAGAGCGTCCTTCGAAGACACGGTCGAAAGACTCGATGGCTGCGTATATCGCCAGCAGCTCTTTGTCGTAGGCAGCTTAGCTTAGTCATGGAAAGCTTCCTGGAGAAAAAACCGAGTGCCTCCAGGTGCCACGTGGGTACCCCAACTCCAGTGCTACGCCAATCAAAAGCATCGATCCTCAGGGTGATCGGTTGTCGGGCCTGAGGATAGCTGTTGTTGTTGTTGTTGACCGCTATTGTAAGGGCGTCTTTGCATTGTTGGAAGGCGGCGTCGGCCTCTGGCATCCAGATAAGCGGGGTCTTCTTGCTTTTGGGTCTGAGGTCCTTCAGTAGATCGTTCAGCGGAGCCATAAAGTGGGTAGCCCTGGGCATGCAGTGTCTGTAGATACCGATTATGCCCAGGAATATTCTGGACCTTGTGCGCTGTTGGACGAACGCCCTATTGTTTTAAAGATGTTTTAATACACACATCCTAGAAAATATATATATTTCTAGGAATTGTATGAAATTCCGATATTGTACTAGGAAATATATAAAACTAAAGCTTTCCGTGAATAAAATGAATAAAACACGTTAGTAAACTGAGAATCAGAGTTGTCTGTGTTTACGCGGTTCCAGTGCCATCACCTGATGTATATGCATTGGTGTATTAGTGACGTTATTGTATGGTTATTAGATATATTTATGACAGACTGGAATTTCTTTAATGCCCCTGCCTGATATGTTGGAATAATGTCTTCGAAAAGTATGCTTCATTATGATCTCCGCGCCCAACATAAATGAAAATGATCAGCATTATCACCTCTGCGACATACTAAAAATTTAAGGTCGTCGTGTTTGTTGAAGCAAAAATAATTTCGGCACATTATTCTAACATCTAACATATCGCCTGCCTCCGGCGGGCAAGGGCATTGAAGGACCTTCGGTCGGTCATGAATTTCCCTAACTAAACAATGACGTCACCAGTGGATATAGGTACATCTCCAAACAGCCTGCCGTATAATTGCCTATTTAGTATTACCTGTAATACATTTCCGATTGCTATTTAGGAAATGTGTCTAATATAATTTTAGGGTTTATGGGTATGTTTAGTAAATCAAAACATAAATAAAACACTAATATATATATATATATAACAATAACTTGAATTTATGTACACGCAACAAAAACCATGAATAAAAAAAGAAATATACAACAGACAAAAAACGTAAAAGTTGAAAAGACACAAGAACACAACAAGACACAAAAATAATATACAAAAACAATGAAAACAGACAGACAATTAACAATAAATAAATGTTGTAGACTTACTCGAATGTTGACAGCAGAGTGGTTAGTTAGTATGGAAATTTAGGGGTTTATATACAGCTGAATTGTTAGTAAAAAGAGATAGAATATTCAAGAAGGAACAGTATGAACAGTAAAGTTGAAGGTACAGGTTTATAGCACTCAGAGCGAGCAATATAGAATTTTAGGAAAAGTAATTAAGGGAAAGTACAGCAATTAGTAAGGGGTGCATGCAAGTATAGGTGAAGATGAAATTCTAGGTAAAGGCTAACGATAGTAGAACAATAGAATCTAGGTTGAAAGGAAACAAAGGCATGCACAAGATAAGAAGTTGTAAGTCTACAAATAGATTTAGAAGAATATTCACAAAATAATAATAATAATAAAAATTCAATAAAAACGACTATAAGAAATTAACTTTAACGGTGTTACCGCCACAGTATCTCCCTGCTAGTAACAGGGCGTTACGGAAAACCAGCTTGTAGGCGGTCTGGAAAACGTACGCGTCTCCCAGCTCTGGTTACTGAGTTTCCTTTGGACTGTCCTTTGGGGGGTTGATCATGCAAGTGTGGAATGTTTTCGGGGGTCTCTTGTTCCCTTGTTGTGGTTGAAGGTGGTTCTACTATAACGTATGCGGGTTTCAGCCGATCCACAGATACGGTTACATTACGACCCCTGATGTTGACTATGAATGTTTTGTCCGCACGCTGAACGACTGCGAATGGACCTTCGTAGGGCTGCTGTAACGTTTCTTTGACACCACCACGGCGGACAAACACCTGGTCTGTGGTGAGTAGGTCCTTGAAAATGAACGTTTTCTTCTCCCCATGGCGTCGCTCTTCTGTTGGTCGTAGATTCTGTTGAATCCTACGGAGTTCTTGGACAAACTCAGGTGCGTCCTTGTAAATATTAGAATCCGGATTTGATCCTAAAAATTCACCAGGTAGTCGCAGCGATTCTCCGTATAGTATTTCTGCTGCGGTTGCCTGCAGGTCCTCCTTCCAGGCGGAGCGGATCCCTAATAGAACCGTTGGCAGAATCCGTGTCCAAGAATTGCTTTGATGGCACATTATGGCGGCCTTGAGCTGTCGGTGAAGGCGTTCCACCATGCCATTAGCCGAGGGATGATAAGCCGTTGTGCGAATATGAGTCGTACCTAGTAAACGGTAAATGCGTAAGGGAGTCCCGAATCTGGCTATCCAGTTGTCGTACATGGCACGAGCGACGGTTGTTGCTTCCTGGTCAGGAATGGGAACAGCTGCGGGCCATCTTGAATACCTATCGACCATCGTGAGACAGTACCTGAGTCCTTCCGATGGTGGCATGATAACGATGTCGATGTGTATGTGCTCAAATCGTGCCGATGTTGGTGGAAACGTCCCCACAGGACCTGACACATGTCGGGTTACTTTAGAACTTTGACAGGCTATACAGGAGCGGGTCCATTCTCTGATGTCCTTTTTAGCTGACGGCCAAATGTAACGCTGAGTCACAAGCTTGACTGTAGCATTGACCCCTGGGTGTGAAAGGTCATGGATGGTGTGAAACGCTGCTCTTCGGAATCCTTTTATGATGAAAGGACGGGCTGTATGCGTGGTAACGTCACAAAATATCGACGTGTCAGTACCTGGTAATTGAAGAAGTTTCCTTCAATTCTGGATCCGTTTTTTGAGCGTCCGCGAGTGCCTTGTAGTCCAGAGTAGCCTGTACTTCTTCGACGCGGGATAGTGCATCCTAGACGACGTTATCTGCGCCGGAAATGTGTTTGACGTCAGTAGAAAATTGCGCTACAAAATCCAGGTGTCTGATTTGACGCGGGGAACATTGATCGTGTTTTTTTTTAAAAGCGTAAATAATAGGCTTATGGTCTGTGAAAATGGTAAATGGGCGTCCTTCCACCATATGTCGGAAGTGTTTCACAGAAAGATAAATGGCCAGCAACTCACGATCGTAGGCGGCGTAATTTAATTCAGCAGGACTTAGTTTTTTCGAGAAAAAATCTAACGGTTGCCAATGGTTGTCCACGTATTGCTGGAGGATTGCTCCGACGGCGTAGTTTGACGCATCTGTAAAAATTGCTAGCGTTGCGTATGGCTTCGGATGCGCTAGCAGCGTTGCTTGCGAAAGAGTCTCTTTGCACTCTTCAAGCGCGTGGTTAGACTGTGGTGTCCAAGATACAGGATGCTTTCCTTTGACGTTGCCTTGCAGGAGGTCGTTCAGTGGTGCTTGTATCTCTGCTGCCTTCGGGATAAATCTACGGTAAAAATTTATCATACCTAAGAATTGCCGACGGTTTTTAACAGTCTGCGGAAGCGGAAAGGACCGAATAGCGTCCACTTTCTCGGGCAACGGGTGTGTACCTGTACCGGAAACAAGATATCCAAGGAACTTGACTTCTGGTTCGCCGAATACACACTTAGATGGGTTGATTATCACACCATATTTTTGCAGTCTCTCGAGTAATGTCCGTAGGTGGTCCATGTGTTCGTCCATTGACGAAGATGCAATCAGGATGTCATCAATGTATGCATAACAAAATTCAAGACCTTGCAGGACTTCGTCAATGAAACGTTGAAAAGTTTGCGCAGCGTTTCGCAAACCAAAACTCATATGGGTGAATTCAAATAGGCCGAAGGGTGTCGTGATCGCTGTTTTCGGCACATCCTCTTCAGCGACCGGAATTTGGTTGAACGCGCGAACCAGATCTATTGTAGAAAATATAGTTTTTCCGCTGAGAGCCTGGGAAAAATCCTGGATGTGTTTGACAGGTTATCTATCAGGACACGTCCTGGCGTTAAGGGCGCGATAATCCCCACAGGGTCTCCACTCGTCGCTTGTTTTCGGAACCATGTGGAGCGGTGATGCCCAGGGACTCTTAGAAGGACGAGCGATCCCCAATTTAACCATGGCCTCGAATTCTAATTTAGCTGCTCTCAATTTGTCGGGAGCAAGTCGTCTTGGTCTTTGCGCGACGGGAGGTCCGGGAGTGGTAACGATGTGGTGCTTCGTCGAATGGGCTGCAATTCTGGGAGTTCCTCCTGGTCGGGTTGTTCCCGGAAACTGTTGCAGCAGGTCGTGAAATGGTGACGAACCTGAAACTGTCTTGATAGATGGTAGCTTACACTCAATTACCTTCCCTTGGGACGTGAGATGAGTAGTTGAATCCAGAAGACGTTTGTTTTTCATGTCGACCAACAAACCAAAATGAGACAGGAAGTCAGCGCCGATAATTGGTTTTGAGACGTCAGCCACAACAAAACGCCATGTGAACTGTCGTCGGAGTCCTAAGTCGAGGGTTAACGTCAATGTACCGTAGGTAGCTATGATGGTACCGTTTGCAGCGGAAAGTTCGTAATTGGACTTTTCTCTCGGGTCCGGAAGCAACGAACGCGGAAATACACAGAGGTCGGCACCAGTGTCTATAAGATATTTCACCTTTGTTGACCCATCGATGATAAATAATCGGCGTGAATGGTGTGTAGGGCCGTTGTCGTCGGTCGCCATCAACGATTGCCCATGTCGTTTCCCGGAGGATTGCCTTGAAAACTGCAGGGTTTGGTACATTTTCTTGCGTTATTTCCAAACCGATTATGATACCAACAAAATTCACTGTTCCTTGAATGTGAGTGTGAACGCGATCGAGAATTGGGACGTGATCTCGATCGATAACGTTGAGGATGATGCACTGGTACATGTTTGATTTTTATAGCCGCTAACTCTTGGAGTGCAGTTGTTAACGCATTTTCCAGGAAATCCAACCTGCTATTTGTTGTACAGTTGGTTGTAGAGGTCTCTGCTACGTTGTTAAACTGTCCATATGCTTCGACGATGGTGTCCGCGATCTCTGCTCTTTTCTCGAGTGGCAAATCTTTATGCGCTGCTAACAGGGCCTGTATATGCTTCGGTAGACGGGTTGACCAAAGGGCTTGCAGGACGTCGTCAGGGAATTCACTACCAGCGAGGTTGCGTAAGTGTCGCAGGAACTGTGTTGGCTTGCGATCACTTTTTAAAAGTTCGTAAGTTCTCTCACTACGCGGTTTTACAATAACGTCGCGAACTTCCAGGGCGCACTTTTCGTTATTCATAGTGAATGTAGTAAACGTTTTGTTAATGTTCAAATTAAAACAAAGTTGTTACGTGCACTTTTACGGGGTCACCACTTTAGCGTTTATGGGTATGTTTAGTAAATCAAAACATAAATAAAACACTAATATATATATATATATAACAATAACTTGAATTTATGTACACGCAACAAAAACCATGAATAAAAAAAANTGATTGGGACGCAGATGAAGAAGAACAGGCGGATGAATAGGAAGAGGCGCGATTTCGTGGGCGTTTTACGACCTTGAAATGTTGCTCGTCGGGAGAGGTTCGGGGATTTTTTGGGGTAGCAGGAGTGTCCATTTCGATGTTCGGTATTAAATGCGTGTGTGCGTGTGTGTTTGCTCGAATGAGCGCGTGTGTGTGTGAGAGTAGGTTGTTGTTAGCGGTTTTAGTACAGTAAGGGGTTGTGTTAAGACACTGGGACGTTGCGTACTCGGTCCCTAGTGATCTGTAGGTTAGTGATAATGTTTATAAGTAGCTTACCGTTTCGTCTGCTGGGCTGTAATTTGATGCTGCTCACTTTTCTGGAAGAACGCTGAAAAGTTGAAATGCTAAAGCTATCGAACTATNATTTGTAGGCGGTCTGGAAAACGTACGCGTCTCCCAGCTCTGGTTACTGAGTTTCCTTTGGACTGTCCTTTGGGGGGTTGATCATGCAAGTGTGGAATGTTTTCGGGGGTCTCTTGTTCCCTTGTTGTGGTTGAAGGTGGTTCTGCTATAACGTATGCGGGTTTCAGCCGATCCACAGATACGGTTACATTACGACCCCTGATGTTGACTATGAATGTTTGGTCCGCACGCTGAACGACTGCGAATGGACCTTCGTAGGGCTGTTGTAACGTTTCTTTGACACCACCACGGCGGACAAACACCTGATTTGTGGTGAGTAGGTCCTTGAAAATGAACGTTCTCTTCTCCCCATGGCGTCGCTCTTCCGTTGGTCGCAGATTTTGTTGAATGCTACGGAGTTCTTGGACAAACTCAGATGCGTCCTTGTAAATATTAGAATCCGGATAGGCAGAATCCGTGTCCAAGAATTGCTTTGATGGCACATTATGGCGGCCTTGAGCTGTCGGTGAAGGCGTTCCACCATGCCATTAGCCGAGGGATGATAAGCCGTTGTGCGAATGTGAGTCGTACCTAGTAAACGGTTTAACTGTTTAAAAAGGTACGACTCGAATTGTCTGCCCTGGTCGGAGGTAATGCGTAAGGGAGTCCCGAATCTGGCTATCCAGTTGTCGTACATGGCACGAGCGACGGTTGTTGCTTCCTGGTCAGGAATGGGAACAGCTTCGGGCCATCTTGAATACCGATCGACCATCGTGAGACAGTACCTGAGTCCTTCCGATGGTGGCATGATAACGATGTCGATGTGTATGTGCTCAAATCGCGCCGATGTTGATGGAAACGTACCCACAGGAGCTGACACATGTCGAGTTACTTTAGAACGTTGACAGGCTATACAGGAGCGGGTCCATTCTCTGATGTCCTTTTTAGCTGACGGCCAAATGTAACGCTGAGTCACAAGCTTGACCGTAGCATTGACCCCTGGGTGTGAAAGGTCATGGATGGTGTGAAACGCTGCTCTTCGGAATCCTTTTGTGATGAAAGGACGAGCTGTATGCGTGGAAACGTCACAAAATATCGACGTGTCAGTACCTGGTAATTGAAGAAGTTTCAACTTAAGAGACGAAACGTCGGTTAGGTATTCCTTCAATTCTGGATCCGTTTTTTGAGCGTCCGCGAGTGCCTTGTAGTCCAGAGTAGCCTGTAGCTCTTCGACGCGGGATAGTGCATCGGCGACGACGTTATCTGCGCCGGAAATGTGTTTAACGTCAGTAGAAAATTGTGCTACAAAATCCAGGTGTCTGATTTGACGCGGGGAACATTGATCGTGTTTTTTTTTTAAAGCGTAAATAATAGGCTTAAGGTCTGTGAAAATGGTAAATGGGCGTCCTTCCACCATATGTCGGAAGTGTTTCACAGAAAGATAAATGGCCAGCAACTCACGATCGTAGGCGGCGTAATTTAATTCAGCAGGACTTAGTTTTTTCGAGAAAAAATCTAACGGCTGCCAATGATTCTCCACGTATTGCTGGAGGACTGCTCCGACGGCGTAGTTTGACGCATCTGTAAAAATTGCTAGCGTTGCGTATGGCTTCGGATGCGCTAGCAGCGTTGCTTGTGAAAGAGCCTCTTTGCATTCTTCAAACGCCTGGATAGACTGTGGTGTCCAAGATACAGGATGCTTTCCTTTGACGTTGCCTTGCAGGAGGTCGTTCAGTGGTGCTTGTATCTCTGCTGCCTTCGGGACAAATCTACGGTAAAAATTTATCATACCTAAGAATTGCCGACGGTTTTTAACAGTCTGCGGAAGCGGAAAGGACCGAATAGCGTCCACTTTCTCGGGCAACGGGTGTGTACCTGTACCGGAAACAAGATATCCAAGGAACTTGACTTCTGGTTCGCCGAATACACACTTAGATGGGTTGATTATCACACCATATTTTTGCAGTCTCTCGAGTAATGTCCGTAGGTGGTCCATGTGTTCGTCCATTGACGAAGATGCAATCAGGATGTCATCAATGTATGCATAACAAAATTCAAGACCTTGCAGGACTTCGTCAATGAAACGTTGAAAAGTTTGCGCAGCGTTTCGCAAACCAAAACTCATATGGGTGAATTCAAATAGGCCGAAGGGTGTCGTGATCGCTGTTTTCGGCACATCCTCTTCAGCGACCGGAATTTGGTTGAACGCGCGAACCAGATCTATTGTAGAAAATATAGTTTTTCCGCTGAGAGCCTGGGAAAAATCCTGGATGTGTTTGACAGGTTATCTATCAGGACACGTCCTGGCGTTAAGGGCGCGATAATCCCCACAGGGTCTCCACTCGTCGCTTGTTTTCGGAACCATGTGGAGCGGTGATGCCCAGGGACTCTTAGAAGGACGAGAGATCCCCAATTTAACCATGGCCTCGAATTCTAATTTAGCTGCTCTCAATTTGTCGGGAGCAAGTCGTCTTGGTCTTTGCGCGACGGGAGGTCCGGGAGTGGTAACGATGTGGTGCTTCGTCGAATGGGCTGCAATTCTGGGAGTTCCTCCTGGTCGGGTTGTTCCCGGAGACTGTAGCAGCAGGTCGTGAAATGGTGACGAACCTGAAACTGTCTTGATAGATGGTAGCTTACACTCAATCACCTTCCCTTGGGACGTGAGATGAGTAGTTGAATCCAGAAGACGTTTGTTTTTCATGTCGACCAACAAACCAAAATGAGACAGGAAGTCAGCGCCGATAATTGGTTTTGAGACGTCAGCCACAACAAAACGCCATGTGAACTGTCGTCGGAGTCCTAAGTCGAGGGTTAACGTCAATGTACCGTAGGTAGCTATGATGGTACCGTTTGCAGCGGAAAGTTCGTAATTGGACTTTTCTCTCGGGTCCGGAAGCAACGAACGCGGAAATACACAGAGGTCGGCACCAGTGTCTATAAGATATTTCACCTTTGTTGACCCATCGATGATAAATAATCGGCGTGAATGGTGTGTAGGGCCGTTGTCGTCGGTCGCCATCAACGATTGCCCATGTCGTTTCCCGGAGGATTGCCTTGAAAACTGCAGGGTTTGGTACATTTTCTTGCGTTATTTCCAAACCGATTATGATACCAACAAAATTCACTGTTCCTTGAATGTGAGTGTGAACGCGATCGAGAATTGGGACGTGATCTCGATCGATAACGTTGAGGATGATGCACTGGTACATGTTTGATTTTTATAGCCGCTAACTCTTGGAGTGCAGTTGTTAACGCATTTTCCAGGAAATCCAACCTGCTATTTGTTGTACAGTTGGTTGTAGAGGTCTCTGCTACGTTGTTAAACTGTCCATATGCTTCGACGATGGTGTCCGCGATCTCTGCTCTTTTCTCGAGTGGCAAATCTTTATGCGCTGCTAACAGGGCCTGTATATGCTTCGGTAGACGGGTTGACCAAAGGGCTTGCAGGACGTCGTCAGGGAATTCACTACCAGCGAGGTTGCGTAAGTGTCGCAGGAACTGTGTTGGCTTGCGATCACTTTTTAAAAGTTCGTAAGTTCTCTCACTACGCGGTTTTACAATAACGTCGCGAACTTCCAGGGCGCACTTTTCGTTATTCATAGTGAATGTAGTAAACGTTTTGTTAATGTTCAAATTAAAACAAAGTTGTTACGTGCACTTTTACGGGGGGNGCAAGTATAGGTGAAGATGAAATTCTAGGTAAAGGCTAACGATAGTAGAACAATAGAATCTAGGTTGAAAGGAAACAAAGGCATGCACAAGATAAGAAGTTGTAAGTCTACAAATAGATTTAGAAGAATATTCACAAAATAATAATAATAATAAAAATTCAATAAAAACGACTATAAGAAATTAACTTTAACGGTGTTACCGCCACAGTATCTCCCTGCTAGTAACAGGGCGTTACGGAAAACCAGCTTGTAGGCGGTCTGGAAAACGTACGCGTCTCCCAGCTCTGGTTACTGAGTTTCCTTTGGACTGTCCTTTGGGGGGTTGATCATGCAAGTGTGGAAGAAATTAACTTTAACGGTGTTACCGCCACATACAGTTTTATTATTTTATTCTCCTCCAGTTTTGATCGATGATGTTTTCGTGGTTTATTAATAACAAAATATAAAAAATAACGAAATTTATTTTGTCATACTACGTTTTACATAATAGAACAATTTAGGCAGCACGTGATAATGCATAGGTTTTGCAATACGTACAGGATGCAATTACATTTATAATTAATTTACAGTAAAGCATATGGTAGTAACTAATTAGAAGCCAATTTATTCTAAGTCGCATGAAATATTGCACCTAAAGGTCAAACAGGACACTATTAAAAATCCAACTGGAATCACCTTTCTGTTAGCTCTTACATCACTCTTTCATGTTTGATGGTGTAGGTATGAACCTTTTAGTCACTTCACTGTCACATTTCTCTTAGTAGTTGAAGAAATCACTATAAAAAAGGGACTACCTTGAACGTGAAGCAGATGAAGATCAACGCTGCAGCAGGGTACACTAGATTACCCTTTGAACTGGTTACTGCAACAAATACGGTATTAAATAAATGAAATAATTTATCAGAATTCGATTCAGCTAAAAATCCCTCTTTATTTTCAACCAAATGGTAATACGACATGCTTATTTTATAAAATGTTTTTATAGTGTAATTGTTAGTATATAGTCATTAGCATTTATTGTTTCAGTGCAATCGTTGACTAAACTTTCTGAATATTAATAGTTAATTTGTCTTATATTTACTAGCTTTTTCCATTTTTCCTTTAATATTGGAGGAACTCATACAAGTTATATAAAAACAACTCTGGCAGTAATTAAGGAAGCAAGGGTAAGAATTATGAAGGTTAAATAAGTACGCATTTAATTCATGGCAAAAATAATAACAAAAATGGTTTTATTTTACTGCATCAATGTCAACTGTTACGTCTCCATTATTTCTTCAGCTTTTGTTAATTATAGCTTGGAAAATGATAGATATGACTCCAATCAATGCAATGCATTTAACTGTCATGTATCAATCTGCACCTGAGCCACAAATTAATGCATTCATAGCGAAAAAATGGTGGGGAAAAAAATATTAAATCGCTTCTCATTAGTAGTGTCGTGAGCTAGGAATTATTCTCCTCCTTCATCGGGAACACCGCTGGAGTTGTTTATCCGACGTTTCACAAACAGCAGTGTTTAGCACTCCTAAGGAACGTAGAGAAAGCATAAGGTCTTCCCCTGAAGTTGCACTTAGTACAAACGTTTCTCTGGCAAAGTAAAGTCCCTACACCAGAAACCGTCGCATGCATAGGTATCAGTTTGTTGTATTAATTTTAATATCCTATACAGAAACATATAAGGGCTTTAACATTAAACTACAGATAAATACAAAATAGAGTAAAACATAAATTTTGTTCATGTATTTTTACCAATATATCTGTATGTGTTAAGATTTTTGTATCTTATTTTTTAATTCTTTTCCAAATTTCTTATCTTCATTGTCGTTTTCGTTTTTGCGTCCTTTTCCCGTACCTAGTAGCTTCGGTAGTGAAGACGGCTCTGTTTGTTTTTGTTATCGAACCATCGTCGTGACGACACATTATTTTCTTGATGTGAAATATTTATTGTTTTTTCTGAAAAGGTCTTAATGATATATTTGCTCGTATTTCACTTCGTTTTTTATTTTTGAATTACCATCAATTCAGCGGCTCCGCATCATTACGAAAATTCTAGTTTCGTTTGTTGATAAGTATTTTCGTGACGCGTCCGTAGATGTTTTATTAACAGCGCGTGGTCAGTTTCAAGTTGCATGAAGTGAGAAAGCTGGTCCTGAAATACGGAAAATTTCTTCGGAACACGAATAAAATTTTTGCAAAAGCAAATGAGCTCCAAAAAACTCTGGATGTTCGTGACCAATTAATTAGATTGATCAAGGCAGGTGGTATTAAATTATACAAATGGACTGCTAATGATCACACCTTACTTAAAATAAGGTAGTAGGTCAACAGAAGAGATAGGTGGTTTTAAATGAAATAGTTTGAACGCTAGGTCTGAGACATTCTTTTTCAAAATAGCGATTCCTAAATCGAATTGGTCTAATATTACCAAGAAATCGGTGTTATCTGAAATATCTAAACTTTAGGCCCTGTAAGTTGGCTAGCTTCGTTTTTGATCCAAGCAAAATTGCTAATGCAGAATCTTTGAATTTTGTATGTAGGTTGGGATGAGATTTAAGATCCTTATTCTTTGAATGAATGGGACTTTTGATCGAAAACCCCAAGATTGTCAAATATAAAAATTCCTAGAAGGTACAAATCATGTAAATTGGATTAGCACTTATCACACGGTTTTTCTGATGCATTATTGAAAGCTTATGCAGCTATAGTTTACTTTATTGTTCCTCATGAAGCCTCAATACTGGTAATGTCAAAGTAAAGGGTTGCTCCTATTAAAACACAAAGTTGACCTAGATTAGAGCTTTGTGCAGTTTTTTGCTAGTAAGATTAGTGAAGTAAGTGTTGTTAAATTTACAACAACAATCCGGTAACAGACTTTAAATTAGTTTTAGCTTGGTTGAACAAACACCCCTCTAGTTGGCAAACATTCATCGCCGATAGCGTAAATGAAATTATTACCTCGTTTTCGTCATTCAAATACCGACCAGGAGCTCTTTATACTCTCAACTCTTGTTTATTAAACATACTTTTTCGCACACTACCTGCCAAAGGTATAGTTTCATCATGAATAGTAGTGAACAATAATTTTTAGTACTTGGACATTACAATGATCCGTTAATATGTCTTCAAATAAAAATAAAAATCTCGTTAATATTTTCAGTAGTAATTGTTACCAATAATAGCACATTTTCCGTGCAGTACTGTACGGATTATACGCTCCTGGCCGGTTGAGTGATTGGTTTACAGTTGTTCCTTTCTTTTCGACCTAGTATCGTTCTTCTCTATCGGGTGTGGACTATGCAGGTCCAATCTTATTAATTGTCAAATCTGTTAATATGTATATTGTAATTTTTATCTGATTAGTGTCAAGAGCAGTGCATATCGAAATTCATTCTAGTTTAAGTTCATAAAACACTTTTAGCTGCATTCTCCCGGTTTATCAACTGTTGAGGCCATTATAAAATTTTATATAGTGATAATGGCACTACATTTCTTGGTGCTACTGGTCAAATTAAAGCGTTATTCGATGACGCCTCAGACTTCTCACACGAGGTTGCCAGTGCACTCGCTCGATATAATACAAAATGGTGCTCCTCCAAAGGCTGTACATTATGCTGGATTGTGATAAGTGGCTATTTAAAATTTTAAAAATCACTTCAAAAGTTAATAGATAATTAAACTCCTAATTTTGAAGAGATGAGTACACTTGCGACTCACACTGAAGTACTGTTGAATAATCTTGTCTCTACGTCCTTTATGCAACGATGCCAATGATTTAGTTGCACTTACTCTAGGACATTTTCATAATAGCGAGTCTCACAATGTTACCACACCCATATGATGACAATTATGATTTGAACTTAAAGGCTTATCGAGTTTCTAGATGGAGATTACTGATTGAGTAATGGTTTAATTAATTAATAAAAATTATTTACCAATAGATATGCAAATTACCGCGAAAAAAAGTAATTTTTTATTTTTTCAATTTTCCGGTCATTTTTTCCATTACAGTATACTTTTTTTACCATTTATCGAAAGTAAACAGAACTCTGCGTAGCTTTAAGAGGAATTGTAGTTAAAACCACCTGTCGGTTCGATTTTCTTTTACTTTTTTTTTGTTCGAACTATTTATTTTTGCAAGACTACCACTTTTTGAACAGCTTAAAAAATTCTCTACTGCTTCTCCAACGCATGGAGTCTTCCTGGTCAACCACTCCTTGCAGATTAACACTAATACATTGGATTTGTGTTAAGAATATAGAATTATTTTGCTTTCATTTCCTCCACAGGGTTCGCACAAATTGCATCTCTTGTATCAATCTGTCTTCAGACCTTTAAAAAAAGTTATAAATATCGCTGGTGATGGATACGGAGTCACTATGGAAAACCAAAGCACTTTTAGTGAACTGTGTCACCCTCAGTTATGCCACCTACTTTTTCCCTGAAATTGTTCGACTTCCAGAAGAAGATTATGTCGTATTAAGTTAGATAGTATTTACAATAAAAGAGACTTTAGACCACTTTAATAAAGTTTTGAACTTATCACTATTAGTCTCAAGCATTGTTATAATAGCCCCTTCCAGCCTTTCCTACTTGCTTCTTTAAGTTAACCATCGTTTAGGAATAAAATTTTAGTACAATTTATACGTAGACAAATGTACACCATACTATAAAAAACAGCTTTTCTCCAGCTAATTAGCATACTAACAAAATTGTGAGCGATTCTAAATGATTTTAATAAGTGATGCTTTTTGTGCAAATATCGAATTCAAAAACATGCACTGAAACAAGATAATTAAGAAACAGGAAAATTTTTGTACAAATGTGCCAGAAAGTAAGCGCATTAACCAGAAAAAATGTAAAGAATCACAGTTTGAAGCAAAAGTGCACTAAAATGTGTACAAAAAGTTGCATTAATAAGATTAGTTAAAGAAGAAGAATTAATATAAACCAGGAATTCTGGAGATTACCGTCTGTGGAACAAAGAAATTTTGTGATATTTAATCCATCTCAAACGGGTGTCAAAATCAAAACGACTGGTAATACTTGTAGTTCTAGAAGATCAAAGACTATTCTATACTTTTTCAACAATAAATGTGTCCGATGAAAAACGTTTGGATTCAAGCATATATTTATACTCATAATACAGGGTTGTTCGGAAAGTAATTTCGTTTTTTTTGTGGAAATGAAAGACAGTTTTCGTATAATAAACAAATACTTTATTAAATTATATATTGACCGTTCTGGTCCAACACCTTTTACCATCTTTCTGGTAGTAGCATAATTCCACGCTCATAAAATTTTTGGTCTTTGCTGGCAAAAAACTGATCGAGGAGGTTTTTGAGCTCCTCATTTGAGGTGAAGGTTTTATCGTCTAAAACATTTTGGAGTGACCGGAACAAATAATAATCCGATGGTGCCAGGTCTGGAGAATATGGTGGGTGTGGCATTGTATCCCATTCAAGCTGTAAAAGCTTTTGGCGAGTGACCAAACTTGAGTGAGGTCTCGCGTTGTCTTGGTGATACACTACACCTTTCCTGTTGATTAGTTCTGACAGTAGACTTCCGAATTAATCGTTGTGTTATCCGGTAAAAGTTAAAAAAAAAAACGATTCCTTTAAAATTCCACCTAACAGGCAGCAGCACCTTTTTTTTGGTGAATATCGGCTTTGGAAATGGTTTGAGCCGGTTTATCTTTTTTGCTCCATGACTTCTTGCGTTTGACGTTGTTGTATACAACCCATTTTTCGTCCACAGTGATGATGCGCTTTAAAAACGGATCATTTTCGTGACGTTTGAGAAGCGAATCGCAGACGTCAATGCGGCGACACAGATTTCTCTCTGTTAGAACATGGGGAACCC